TTGGTTTTTCTCCGGTACCGGGAACCGAACTCACGACCTTGCGCTTGCCAGGCAGGCGCTTTTGCCGCTGAGCTAAATCCCCAGCCCCAAGACCACTTATCTCTATGGCTAATGCTTCTCTCCTGTTTTTGCCATCAGTTTTTTGTCAGGAAAGGTCCTTATCTCCTTTACCACGGGATTCTATCGTTGGAATAGTTTGCGTGGTTCACCTGTCTGTGACCACAGAGCTTCTTTACTTTTTTATTTCACAGGTCACCCTATGTAGATTTAAGATGTAATTTTACAGTGCTTCATTTTGAAATTTTTTTTCTGGAGTCTTGCTTTGGGAACCTAGTGAAAGAGGGCTGAAGCACTGAAAATTGAATGGAGTGAGCATCTGTTTGACTAGTTACTTCACAGAAACACTCTAAGGACCGGCCACCCCTTGCGCTGCTGAAGAAATGGTCAGGTATATAAAACACAGCTGAGTGACAGTCTTTATGCTTTGATTAGCCCTGGTATAGGAAGGAAAATGAGAAATGTAATATTCTGTATGTATCTGTTATAGGAAGCTGAGTTAGATAGAAATATTATAGGCAGTCAGACAGGGCCAGGCCCTCCAAGGAGCCAACATGCAGAACAAGATACCTTGTGGATTTGCTGTGGGTCAGACTTCAAAACAAAAGATGAAACAAATGCATCCATATACCTCCCTAGGTATATGGGACAATATCAATTCCTGGACACCAGGAATTGATATTCTAAATAGGTAGCAACCACCTTCAAAAAGCCAGAAAGAGTCGCTAGCCCAACCTCTTAGGGGAAAAGCCCCAGTTCTGTATTCATGCCCGCTTGCTAAGTGACTTGCTTTCCCACTTAATCTCAGTTTACTCAATTTTACCTGAACAATTATACATGTAATCTTATTGGCTGACCATGGTTTTGTTCTGCCTCATGCCCACCTTGTAATTTCTCATTTTCCTCCTATCCCGGACCCACCTCACCTTGTAGTTTTGCCCTATGAAGTCCTCAGAAAAGACAGGGTCCTTGGCAACCCACTTGGGCCCCTTCTGTCCCTCTTTTGGACAGAATCTTTCTTTCCCTCAATAAATATATTCTGCTCTTAGCCTCCATTGTTCCTAAAATTCATTCTTCAGTTTTAGAGAACACGAACTCATCCCAGATATCGTTCAGGTTGGGAGTTTTTATTTTCCTGTATCATTTCTTTTAATCAGATTTGTTGATAACATTTTAGATATACATAATGATCACATTCATCATAGAGAATTTGTACCTCTACATGATATAACCTGATTCTTTTTTTTTTTTCCCCATTTCCTTATCATTTCTTCAACCCTCCTGTATGCATTGTTCTAGCCTTGTTAATTTAAAAAGAAGTTGGGAATTATTTGATAATGAAAGAGGCATTTGTATATTCAGGATCAGGAGCCCAAGTCTATAAAGTTTTTTAAATAAGCAAGCATCTAAAATAATATCTACCTAAACTCCCCAAAGTCCAAAAATACACAGAATCTAATGTTACTTAGAAAAAAATATATTTGGATCCTAATAATTTTATTTACCAAAAAAAGGAGAAAAAAACTTGTTTTGCTAAAATGTGAGTAACTATACTAACAAAAATCTATGAAAAGACAAAATAACCCAATGAAAAACTTGGTCCCTTATTCCAGTAGCCAGCTCACAGAAAGGAAAATTCAATGAACCTACCGAAAAGTGCTTATCTTTGGTCATATTCAGGGAATGTAAATTCAAATCACAGTGGCTTGTCATTTCATAGCCATTAAATTAGCAAAAATTTACAAATGTAATGAAATCAAATTTTGACAAGGATATGCAACAGTGGGACTTGGAAGTTTGCTGTGAAAATGTAAGATACAGGCACTTTTGTATACAGTTGAATGTCAACTTAAAAATGCACATATTTTAAAACCCAGAAATTCTATCACTTGCTGATTTACTGTAGAAAAATTCTTGCTCATCTTTACATAGAAACATTGTATGAGGATGTTCATTTCAACATCATTTATAATAGCAGAAATAAAAACCCAACCAAGAAACCTGGAAACAATGTAAATATTCTTCAACAATATTTGGTGAGACACTATGCAATAGTTAAAAGGCAGAAAGTAGAGAATATATAGGGGTAAATCTGAAAAGCATTCTCAGTTAAAAAAATTCAAGTGTATAAGTAACGTTTATATAAAGTCTAAAATCTGCAGAACATAGTCTTTTATGGTACCTTAGAAGAGAAATACCTTAGTATAGAAATAAACAGAAAAAGGATGAACTAAATAGGTATGTACAGAGAGTTTCAGCTTATTTTCAGTATTTCATTTCTTAAACTGGGTGTAGCTACGTGAATATTTTCAGGTATCATTCAGTATAACTTTTTGAGTATCCAAAACATTTTATTTTTAAAGAAGTACATATTTTTTTTCCTACGTTTTCTAATTACCAAACATCTTTTGCTAAAAATTCTATTAAGTAAATTACACGTTGTAGTAAATACACAAGAAAACAATTTTGAAAGAAATAAAAACTATTGACCTGGCATGCCTTGGTCAGCTGCAGCTGTCAAAACAAAATACTATGAAAGAGTGACGTAAATGGCAGATGTTAATTTTCTCACTGTTCTGGAGACTGGAAGTCTCATACCAGGGTGCAGCAGGGTCAGTGTCTGATGATAGCTTTCCTTGGGATGTAGACAGCTGCCCTCTTGCCTTGGATTTGCCTGGCCTTTCTTTGGTGCACGCGTGCAAGAGATCAAAAATCTCTAATCCTATTAGATCAGTACCCCCACCCTTAGGACCTCATTTAACCGGAATTACGTCCTTAGAGGCCTCTGTTTCAAGTACAACTACATGAAAGATTAGAGCTGTCATATAAATTTGAGAGAGAGACTTTCATCCATAATATTATTTATAATTGGCTGGGGGAAAATAACAGATGATGAGAAAAGCTCCCTGAAGCATTTTCATTGAATTTCAGCATTATCAGCATACAAAGGATGGGTTTGGAGATATAGATTCCTTTCTAACATCTCGAAATGTTTCTTACTCCTTCCCTACCTGTACTTTCCTGAGACTTCTATGAATGTTTTGTTTTGCGATACTTACTTGAAACTGAATCTTGTCATCTTTCATTCACATTCTGCCACCCTTCTTGCTTATTTTCATACTCATGCACTCTACTCTTTTTTTTTAAATTATTTTTCTTTATTTTGATGGTTTTACACTTGGAGTTTTTTCCTTGGTTGGCTCTCAAGTTGTGCACTAAAATAGAAGTCTTTAAGATATAACTGTCTTAAAATTTCTGGGTATATTTTTTGAATTTACATTGGTGGTATGTAATTTAGTGTCTGGAATTCATTTTCTGATAGCATTTTAATATTATTCATTCTATAATAACATTTTTATATTCTAAAATTATGTTTGTTGTATAAAATGTACTTATCACCTATTTTAATCAGTTCCTTGCCTTTCTCCTTTTATTTCTTGTATATATGAAATTTATACTCAAGAATTGGGATAATTTACATGTGAATGTGAGGTAGTCAGTGGTCATACAATTTATAAATGTAAGAGAGCTCCATTGTCTCTGTTTCAAGAATGTTTTAAAGTGCTGTGAGAGGGTTTGTAGCATATCTTTTTAAGGAGCTCATTGCTAAAATACATGAACGGTTCCCCTAGAGTAGAAATCTTTTGACATAGGATCAGTCATGTTCCATTCATACACAGCTCCTGTAATTGATATTCATACAATAGTTAATCCACAGCTACATTTTAATTGAATGAATACTTTGGCCCAATGAAAGTGAAGGTCATGAGAACCTCTGCTACTTCCAAGGGAAAAAGTCCTATATTTTTTAGAAAAAACAGTCTGGTAGGTTTCAGGGAAGTATTTCTTTGTAGCATGGCCCATCTCAAGAAAGGAAAAGGCTTTGTAGACAGACACATTCATTGTCATAGAGGGAAACCAGCAACATTGCTGGTGGGACATGGGTGGAAAGGCCAAGTTGTGTGGCACTGAGGCGAACCCTTAACTGTTTTGCTGGTGACTCGTCTGCCAGGGTTTCTCTTGGATGCCTGGTGCCAACCCAATGACAGTTACATCTGTTACAGCTCTAACGCCATTTGGTGTTGTGAACGGGGGCCTGGTTAGGGAAGCTGGCCTTGACTGCCGTCCTGGGAAGAAATCTACCAACACCAGCATGGGCAAGTTAGAATGATGTAGGAGCACGGACACATTGGATTATCTGGGTGAATGAAAATCATTCAACATAAGCAGGTTTTAAAAGCACTGTACATTTTCTTTATTGATTATTTTCTGCCCACTAAAGGGTTTAATAATTTCCTGCAGGAGGAACAGCTGAAATCTCATGAAAGCAAGCTGAAGCAGATTACCACCGAACTGGCTGAGCACCGCTCCTATCCCCCAGACAAGAAAGTTAAAGCCAAGGACGTAGATGAATACAAGCTCAAAGATCACTATCTGGAGTTTGAGGTATGTTGAAACTAAATATTAATAAACGCTCATTTCATGATTCACCCATGAGGCGAAAGGTTGTCAGCAGCCACTATAAGCATGAGGAGCTTGTCTTGGCCCTAGCTCTAATTTGGAAGCCTCTGGCATGGTATTGATCCCGGTCATCGCTTGTGCTTGTGATTCTATTTAAATGCCAAATAAACATCAAACAGCCTCTGCAGGTTTATGCACTTGAAAGCAAATAGCCTGCCTAGTTAGAAGGGTGTGCGCCTGCTGTGAAGTTCAAAAATAAAAAAAAGATGAATAACAGAGGGACATGCAGCTTGGACAGCTGCTCTCTCTGTCCCTGTGTCTCCTCCAGCATAGTCTGAGTCAGAAAAATGAAGTGAGATACAGAAGATGAAGCATCCGCCTTCCCTATTGCTGTTAGGCGACACCAGTACATTTTCCTTCTTACCAGTCACTGTCCTTTGCGGGGTATTGATCCCGTAGCTTTGGCACGTTTGTATACTCTAGCTAGTGTGGTTGTTGGAGAGGCATAAGGATCGTATTTTATAGTATGAAACAGCAGAAAATTTAAAAGCAAATGCAAAGCAATAGATTTTTAAATGTTTCCTTTGGCTGTTCTTTCCCAAATTAGGTCAGGATCCTTCAACTTTCCCTCTTCACCACTGTCTTCAGACATTCAAAGCATCTCTCTTAGAAAAAAATGGGAGAGCATATCATTCCTCCTCTTGGGCGTGCTGAATTTATCTGTGGGTGTTTGTTTGTACTCACTGCAGCTCTCTTTCCTTCCCCATTCTTCTCCTTCCTCCCCATATTACCATCCTGCTTTCTCCTGGGCCTGAAACCACCCAAGCACCCAGATCCTGAGCTGCCTCTGCTGTGTCTCACACCTGCCCTTTCCCTGCCTGGGTGTTGCTGCTGTGCTTCCTCTGCGCCAGCCTTGGCTTTCCCTTCGCCCGCTTGAAGCTGGCACCTGGCTCCAGCTGTCTCTCCTTTCTCAGATCACCCTACGTCCTTTGCCAGCTGTTTGCTGAGACTCAGTCCAGAGGAGAGCATTGCTCGGTTTGACAGCTGTCTCGGGTCTCCCCCACCTAACCTACCCGCCTCCCCATTTACCTTCTGAATAAAGTCCCAGTCCTGAAACTGAGAGCAATGGGCTCCTTCCGCCTTTCACTCTTCCCTGTAATGGCCTCTGTGTTTTTAGTCACATTTCTGCCTGCCCTGCTCCCCCAGTACTTTTTCACCCGCTTTCTTTTGCCTCTTGTATTCTTCCCAACATCTTTTTTGCAAGTGCTGCTCACCTTGCAAGATACAAGTCAAATCCGTGCTATGAAAAGGTGTATCCCACATCCCTGCTGTTGACCTACTAGCGGGATCAGTCTGCCATACGGCTTGTAACAGCGTGCTTCGCTGTTAGTCTCGGTATCTGTAGAGGACTCCAAATCCCCCTGTGCGGGACTGTGAGCTCTTGGAGGGCGGGAACATCAAGGTCATTTCCAGCCTATGTTCCTTGTGCTACCATATATGCTTGCTTGTTCAACTGGTCAGAATTACAGAGGCCTTAAAAAGTCACTTCCTGAATTGTAAAATGTCCCTTATTAAATATAGTATTCAGTTTAAAAGATGGTACTTCCACTGCAGCTCCCCACATTGGGTTTCTCCATGGTTAAGCAAGTCCTTGCTCTGGTCAGATGATTATACCAAGAGAAACCTTTCTTTTAGTCAAGGTCAAAGTAAGTTAAAAACTATAGAAGCCATACTAGCAAAAGACTTAAAAAAAAAACACTAAAAAAACAAACAGTAACAAAAACCTAAGCAGCTCCTCATGTCCCAGGCTTATTCATTCTTAGAAATGGGAATTCCCAATAAGTAATCATTATTTGTCACATTTCTGGAGCAGATTTAAAACGTAGCCTGTTTTGTTTCACACATTCTAATTAAATTCCCCAATACCTCAGGCCCCCGCTTTCAGCACTCGGCAACTTATTTGAGCCCTGGACTCTAAAGGGAAAGAGCCTTTTTCCTAGGAGGTGGGGACAGCTGCAAGACCTTGGAAAAGTTGCCACTTCTTGGTGCAGGCCCCTGCTTTTGAATTTGCCATGATGTCCTTTTTCTAAAAATATAGTCCAACCAGAGTCAGCATTTTCATTTTCTGATGTGAGGTTGACCCAGCTCTAGGGAGTTATCTCACTTTCATCAAATTGTCTCCTCAAGGAGCATGAAGATTGCATTGCAGAACCCTGGACTCATTAAAATCAGACTCATGCTAATAGGTTGAGCACATTTTATTGTCTATCAGGCTTCTGTACAGATGTTATCTAACAAGGGTTTTGTAAAAGTAATATTTTTGAGAAGTGAGTCATTGTTTTTCAAAAACTTAGATGCGAAGTGAAGATGTCATAGATGCAAAGTGAAATCGCCTTGCTGTGATTTCAGCCTCCAGAATTGGCCTCCTGTGGGTGCTGGTCGAGGTCCTTGCACAGCGTCCTCTGCTTTGTAAGCACTCTTCGCTGAGCTGGTCGCTTCCTTCCCTGAATGGGGAGACAGACTGGCCACTTTGTGTGGAGGGTCACAGCTTTGTCCCAGATCCCAGCATAGGTACCTGCTGAGAATATGTATCTGTTGAATGACTCAGTGAAACTCTATCGTTGTGCATGAACTATAGTGGAGGAAGTAATTCTCCGGGAAACCTTAGTGTTCATTCTTTTACTGGGTGGAAGCTCCCATGAGAGCAGATGTGATGGGCAGGTGAGAACAGTGGGTGTCTGGGGCTGCATGGGAGCCCTCAGGTGGGCAGAGGCAGGACAAGGGCGATGACCTGTCCTGTCCTGCATTTTCACCCCAAGATATTTGATCAGTCTTCTCACCTGCTCCTTGGTAGGTCATCACCAAGAGACTCCTATGGTTTCAGAGCAATTTTTATTTTCACAAGTCTTGGTGAGGAAAAAAAAAACAAAAAAACACTTACTTTGGCAGAATATTACGCTGTTAGTGATACCAGGAATTGTTCCTAAGTTTATGCATGTGTTTATATCACAAGTTGCTCTAAGTGCAAACAATTAATAACAAGCCAGATTCACAGCTCTGCCTATGCTGTAGACATTCTCAAAACCCTCACTTATGGTAAATAATTAGAAATTCTGACAAATACATAGGTTCAAGGTTAAAATACATAGAGAGAATAAGGAGGCTTCCATCTTAGCCTGTTTGAAAAGGATTTGTTTTTACTTAAAGCAGAAAACTTCACTCAGAGTAGGCTTGTAATTGACTAAACCTATACTTCTCTGTTCTTTGACTCTTAATTAGTGGAGAAGGGTTAGTGGTTTTATTTTAGATTCATTTAGTAACCTTGGGTTGTGGCTATTCTATGCTTGTAAGAATTTGTTTGAAGTCTATTCTTAATGCTAAAAGGCTGGTTAAATATCCAAGTTTCCACTGGAAATTCACTGTTATTTCTCAATTTCATGAAATAATCAGAAATAGTCTTATAGCCTCACATGCTAATTTATTTCTACTTGAGTTAATTTTAAAAATATTTTCATTGATCTCCATGGTTCTGGTACATGAGGAATTTATGATTTGCATCAGATGGATGGTTTCTGCCAGAAATAAAAACTTACAAGACCCCAGCCAATCAAACTACAACAGGTTATGCTATCCTGGGAATCACTTGAAGAAACAGAATCATTACAGAAATTCCCCAGATAGAATCATCATTGGCCCCCAAATGTTGGCATTTCATTTCTTCAACTTTAAAAATAACAGTAATTTGAAAGTGAAAATGCTGTTTATTGCAAGATATTTTTCATACAACATTTAAAATGTATGTAGTAAGCTGAGCATGGTGGGCATGCCCATAATCCCAGCATTTGGGAGGCTGAGGCAGGAGGGTTGCTGTGAGTTCAAAGCCAGCTTGGGCTACATAGTGAGATTAAGGCCAACCTGAACTATCTGGCAAGACCCTGTCTCAAAAAAGTAAATAAATAAATAAAATGTGTGCAGTAGGTTGAGTAATTAATCCTTCTGTTGACCCTAAACCTGAGTGGAGAGAGGAAGAAGGTATAGAAGCCCAAACTTACTACAAACATGAAGAGGATGCAAAGGGCAGTTACTGAAAGTCAGGTTTGCAACTAGCTCCCAAGAGTCATCGCAGAACCAGCTGGAAATGTGACCAAGAGAGTGCACATGAGTTCTATGTGACAGCAGACCTCGTGTCAACATGTTTTCTTTGCCCAGAACATTGCTGTTGTTTTTGTTGTCATTTGAATTCATGTAGGAAAACCAAGCTGTCTGCTTCCTCCAGTCCCTGTCTGATCACATCTGATAGTTTTCTGCATTTGTGTTAATGACCTGGTCCCTAAAATCATTCTAGTCTGCAAATGGTACTGTAGAGGCTATATCTGGCTCTGTATGCTCTAAGTAGTAGTTGCATCTTTGAAAATGGGCTTTGGAATCAACTGTTCCGGTCTAGTTTAGATGTGCTGTGTAAAGTTCACGTCAGAACTCAATCTCCAGTACAAAACAGTGTTGGGAGGTGGAACAGCGGTATGTTTTGTCCTCTTACTCACAGTTGCCCTCTCTGGGCGATTTTACCATAGGATAATGCAGCATGAGGGTCCTCCCAGACTCCAGAACCTTTAGCCACATAGTTCTCTGCTCTTAATAAATTACCCACTCGCAGTTATTCTACCATAACCAGAGAAAATGGACGAAGATAGAAAATAGGTATGAGTAGTGGGCTGTTTCTATAACAAAGAACTGAAAATGTGGAAGTTGCTTCAGAACTAGGTACTTTGTAGAAGCTGAAAGAGGGCTGAAGTGATTGCTGGAAACATCATGTATTTCCAACTTCTGAGCTGGTGAGGGCTCACAAGAAGAAAATAACTGACTGGGGAAAGCTGAGACTTCTCAGAGAGCACTTCTGTCTTCATGGTCACAATTTTGGTGCAAATATAAACAGTAAAGACCATTCTGATGCGGTCTCAGACAGAAAGGAAACAAGGGTATTGGAA